GAGCTTGCAAGGACGTTCAAATAAATACACTTATTCAACTATTTAAATTAAAGAAGCTTGTGATCTTGCTAGTCATTTGAATTGCTGAGTTTTCTCTTAATAACTTTTGTCTTTTTGATTCTGAATTTTAAATGATTAAGCAGAAAATCTGCAGTTCTCGTAAAGCAAGTAAGCCCAGAATAGACCTCAGGTTAAACTCCTCCTTGATTTTTCTCAGGAAGAAAATCAAGATCTTTAGCAAACAGAAGAAACATATTATTGAATTTGTTTGAAATATCACAAAAGGAAATTTTTTCATTAACTTGCATGCTTAAATATTATTGGATCGTGCCGAAATCTCATCGATGATGACAAAGAAAAACCTTATGGTAAATGATGCATAAAGAGAAATATTATTATTATTATCATTAATCTTGTTCTGACCCAATGTCTTTGTAGCTTCCTACGATCACCAAGATGAGAGAGATGGGATACTCTGTTCGTTTCTAAAGAAATTGGTAGGATCGACTTCAGTCTTGACGCGTACCAACCTGTCGAAGTTGTTCTTGAAATACTTCCGACCCCAAATGCTTGCTTGTTTATAACTTGTGGTGCCTGTCAGGTTATTTATTCCGAGGTCAAGATCTCTGTAATTCACATAAGCTTCTCGAGGATTTTTAGAAACATATGTTGTCAAGTAACTGTAAAGCCTTCTAATCCAAGCCACATGCCTTCGGGATGCCTCCTTGCTTTCATCACTCCAAGACACACCGGAGACTAATACGTACAGATTACCAGATCTATGTGGAAATGGAGTGCTAGACTCTGAAATCTCATCCATTTTCCCGCCATAAGGGATTAGGATAAGTGCAGGCGCCTTGATGTCTTCTTCAAAGAATCTTTCCCATATCCCCTCAAACGCAATTTCAGGCATAGGTTCCTTCACGTAATCAGATTTTGCTTTGAATCTTGGTATGGATCGAGGAGTCCTACTTAGCAACACATCCAAGGATGCATTACCTGTAAATCCACCAGTGTAGAAGACCGACTCAATCCAACTCATTTCAAAGCAATCATCTTTTACCAAACCAAGCTCAGGGAAGCTCTCTTGCATCACAGGAAGAAGCTGTTCAACCTCACCAAGAAACAAGGAGAAGAATGTAGCTTGTATTGTTGTGTTTCCTTCTTGACTTGAATTAACTCTGGTTACTTGCACATCGATGATGAGATCTTCAGGAAGCGTATTAGCAACATATTGCCACCTATGGAGAAGCTTTGTTGCATTTTGTTCCAAGGTTCTTGAAACAGAAAACATAGTCACTGTGGACGGAACTTCAACCAAACTTATTTTCCATGCAACAACCACTCCAAAGCTTTGCCCTCCTCCGCCTCGTATGGCCCAAAATAAGTCTTCTCCCATTGATGCTCTATCAAGGATCCTGCCTTTAGAATCAATTAAATGAGCATCAATCACATTATCTGAAGCGAGGCCGAATTTGCGCACCATGGTGCCATGTCCTCCACCACTAAAGTGTCCTCCAACACCTATAGTAGGGCAACTACCTGCTGGGAAGGCAAGAGTTCTACTTTTCTCAGAAATACTATAATAAAGTTCCCCTAGTGTTGCACCAGCCTGAACCCAAGCAGTTCTATTCGTTGCATCAACATTGACAGCTCGTAGACTGATAAGATCAATTATGACAAACGGGAGAGCTGCCATGTAAGATAGACCTTCAAAATCATGCCCGCCACTCCGTATTCTAATTTGTAATTTATGTCTTTGGGAGCAAAGGATGGCAGCCTGGATGTGTGATGCATTCGTTGGTGTAACGATGACAAGAGGTTTTAGTTCAGAAGAATTGAACCTGAGGTTCCGTATTGAGAACTGCAAGACAGAGCTATACGAGGAGTTGTATGGGGTGTGAACTACATTTGACATGGCAGCGGGGTCTTCAAAATGAAGGGAAAGGCATTTTAGAAAATCCTCACGAGGGTGAGCTGATATGACCCATGAAAATGAAATGAGAAGACAGAGTAGAAATGGCAGCATTGAAGCTTTGAGACAAGTCATTTTTCTTATGTTTTCCGAGTATAGAATCCTGCAAAGGACTCCCTATTTATAGTATCAAGGGGATATCTTGCTTAACAAGTAAAATGAGCATGAACATGGCTAGATTGCTCAAGTCCATTGAGAAATTAACTAAAAAAGAACTTGCCACACAAGATAGGTGACGTCAAAAATCGACTGCTAATATAAGAAGCATTTCCTTCGTGACTTTTTCAGCATAAAAAATATTATCTGCAATTTCTCAGAGCTCAGGATGCATTATTTTCAAAGTATTTAATATACTCTATTTCAATTTATATGAGTCAATGTCCAAGCTTTTGAATTTTGTTTCCCAAATGAGTACTTTATCTTCTTGCTATAATTAAAACCTCAAATCTCATCACCTGTCCCAATCTCTCAAAGTTCAAATTTTCGAGGAAGATCAAATCCACACTATTATCACACATTACAATAAAATAAAAGCTTATAATATTGGAAGCCACTTGAATTTCTGAAATTTCCTGGTTATTTGCAATTTGTAGGTGGTTGAAATGAACATCCACTTCAAGACTTACGCTTAGTAACATTAGCCTCTAAGGTTTGTTTTTTTTGTTTTTGTTAAAACATAATATAAAATTATTATTAAAATTCATTTAATAATTTAAGATTAAAATTTTAGATTAATATGATATTTTAATATGATATCAAACTTTTAATAATTAGAGAGTGAAGAATTCAAATCTCAATGCTTCATTTACTCTAATTAAATTATTAAACTCAAGATAGTGATTAAAGTTTCAAACCTAAAAAAAAATATAAAGTAATTTTTTGTGTCTTACCCAACAACTTAGTTTAGATTTTTTATATGAAATGATTTTTTTGACAATTTTTATCTTGAATTTATTGTGATTTAATTATTATTATTTTTTGCATGGTTTTTGTTCACTTTTTTTTTTTTATCTACCCGGGAATTATAAACAATTATATTCTAATGAATGAATATGGTTTGGATAAGAAACCTTTGATGATAATCATATTCAACATATTCAAAACCTAAATGGCTATGTTTAATTTAGATAATATTTGGTCTGTGATAATTGTTGAATTCTAAAATGTTTTTCATTTAAAAATATATTATTTTTTTAAATAGCATGACTCGTAGCCAAATTGTGACTTACTCATGAAGTTTCATGTTTCATTAATATATCTTTGAATTTGGCCTGCTTTGATAATGTCTCACTGTATATTTTATCTCACATTCCACTTTGATATATGTCAATAGTTTCAGTACTTGAAGCTTTCGGTTTTAGTACTTGATCATCTGAAATAACAAATATTGACAATCCTAAAACACATTTAAGTAAATATAAGAAATAACAAAATAAAATAATATGCTATTAATAAAACAAAAAGACACAAGGTTTCATAAACGAAGGCTCAAATCCAATATAAGCTTTTTACAGCTTTTCTTAATTGACCAATTTATACGACTCATGAAAGGATCAATTACAGAGATGAAAGATTGTAATTGGTCAATCAATTATTCAGCAGTAGCAGTAGCATCGGATATTATGATTTGTTGTGCTGACGATGTTAGCAATTTTTAACATAAAAACCATTAACATTTAATAGATCTATGAGTTTATGGTAAATGTGCAGTTGAGCTCAAGAGAAAATATGAAAGATCTCTTCCAATGTGCCTAAACTAACTAATAAGGCGTTGAAGGCGCCGACTTGGTTAAACATTATATTTATTTGATCAAATATTGTGAAAACCTATAGTTTCTCTCTAATTGTTTTCCCCTTTTTACTAAAATTTTGGGGACGGCCCTCAAAACTTGACTATTTTCTAAAAATACAGCTATTGATACACCTCCCATTAACCCAAGATTGCCTCTCTATACACTAAATTGATTGCAATTATAAATCTAAACTCGATTCCACTATATATCTATATCCATAAACATGTCTAATTTCTTTGGTCAATAAAAAGTGCTCATGATAAAACAAGTATAATATGGTAAGTTAATAGTTCTAACTAATTGTCACGACCCGAAACCCTAGTCTATGATTAACAACGTAAAAGTGATGTTATAAGGACATCACACCTACGCTAAGTCTTATAATAGAAAAAAAAAACAAGTTATTTAAAAATATATAGCATTTCATAATCATTCAAAATATTATATTAAATCAAATCAAATGATAGTTCAAAACTTCTTATCAATAATTAAAACAAAAACAATAATCTATAATAATTATTACATTGTCAAAATCCAAATATAATTAAAATGTAGTAATAATGGAGTGTCTAAGATATTGAATTAAAACTAAAAAGAAAGTCTTACAAAACAGGCAAGACATACCAACCAAAACTGAAGAAGCAGGAACATTCAACAAAATCCCCCTACTAACAGAAACTAAGAACCTAAAATAATATTAAAAATAAGAGGTGAGTTCAACTAACTCAGTGAAAGAATAACCTTTAATATACATTTTAGATATTAATAATTTGCAAATTATTTATCTTGATATATATATATATATATATATATATATATATATTAAACATATTGTCATAAAATAAGGGAATATATGTCAGAGATTAAACGACACTTAAAGGTAACCACTGTAAAAAGATCAATTGTTATAAGCTGGTGCCTTTCTCAAATAACCAGATATACAAAATAATATATGTACATGTACATAGACTAACTAATATATCTTCGAAGTTGACCTCCTTTGATAATGTCTCACCTTCCATTTGATATATGTCAATAGTTTCCACTATGATATATGTCAATAATTTCAGTACTTGAAGCTTGCTGTTTTTTATTTTATTCTTAGTGATTTTTTCTATTGAAATATTTAATAAAAATTTGGAATTGATCGAGGCGAGGGAGAAAATCAAAATTATTAGATTACAAAGGACAGCATATGATATTGAATTAGCATGATATCTAACAGCATAGACGATTTGAAAATGAACTTTTATTTACAATATGTCTCTACTGGCCCTATTTACTGCATGATCAAATTGTATATTGAACTTGAAGCAAACATTATGGATATTGAAAACACAAGAAAAATGTTATTAGCTCATACTCTTCCTTTGATCACCATGGTGAGAGAGGTGGTATGCTTTGCTCATTTCTAAAGAAATTTGCAGGATCAACTTCAGTCTTCACTCGTACCAACTTGTCGACGTTGTTCTTGAAATATTTCCTACCCCAGATGCTTGCTTGTCTATAACTTGTGCTGCCTGCAGGGTTATTCATTCCGATGTCAAGATCCCTATAATTGACATATGCTTCTCGAGTTTTTTGCGAAATATAAGAAGTCATGTAACTGTAAAGCCTTCTGATCCAAGCTAGATGCCTTTCTGATGCGGTTTCTTCACTCCAAGCCACCGTATGGGAAATTTTGTATAGATTACCAGCTCTATGCGGAAATGGAATGCTAGACTCTGAAATCTTATTCATTTTTCCTCCATAAGGAATGAAAGTCATTGCAGGCACCTCGATGTTTTCGTCAGAAAACCTTTCCCATATCTCTTTCAATACAATTTCAGCCATTGGCTCCTTCACATAATCAGATTTTACTTTGAAATTTATTAAGGATTGGGAACTCCTGTCGAGCAACACATCCACGGATGTATTCCTTGGGAATCCATTAACGTAGAGGATGGACTCAATCCAGCTCATTTCGATGCAGTCATCTCTTACTATACCGAGGTCAGGAAAGCTCCCGTGCATCCACAGAAGAAGCTGGTCAGCCTTGCCAAGAAATAGGGAAATAAACATAGCTTGCACTGCTGTATTTCCTCCTTGGCTAGAATTAACACTTCCTATAACCGCTGTAAGGAAGAGATCTTCAGGAAGCTTATTTGCAACGTATTGCCACTGATGGATTAGCTTGGTTGCGTTTTGTTCCAAGTTTCTTACGACAGTGAAGACGGTCACTGTAGATGGAACTTCAACCAAGTTTATTTTCCAAGCAACAACCACTCCAAAGCTATTTCCTCCACCCCCTCGAATGGCCCAGAATAAGTCGTCTCCCATTGATTCTCTGTCAAGAATCCTGCCTTTAGCATCTATTAATTGAGCATCAACTATATTATCAGCAGCAAGTCCATATTTGCGGAGCATCAGCCCATACCCTCCTCCACTGAAGTGTCCGCCAACACCTACAGTAGGGCAAGAACCTGCAGGGAAAGCGAGAGTTCTACTTTTCTCAACAATTCTATAATAAAGTTCGCCTAGCGTTGCACCAGCCTGAACCCATGCAGTTCTATTCGTTGCATCAACAGTGATGGTTCGAAGATTGATTATATCAACGACAACAAATGGGAGAACAGAGCTGTATGATAGACCCTCAACATCATGGCCACCACTCCTCATCCTAATTTGTAAATTGTGGTGTCGGGAACAGTGAATGGTAGCCTGAATATGCGACAGATCCATTGGTGTGACTATGACCAGAGGTTTTAGTTTAGAAGAATTAAACCTGAGGTTTCGTATTGAGAAGTGCAAGACAGAGGAATACGAAGAGTTGTTTGAGGTGTAAACAACCTTCGAAATGGCTACAGGATCCTCAAAATAGAGGGAAAGGCATCGAAGAAAATCCTCGTGGGTGTGAGATGATGTTGCCAACGAGGACGAAGAGAGAAGAAAAACTAGAAACGGAAGCATTGAAGCTTTTCGAGGAGCCATCTCTATTTCTATCTTCTTTGAAGTAATAGAAGTCTGCAAGCAGCTCCCTTGTTTATAATAAATCAAAGACGAAGTAACCAGCTTGCACCTAAGAAACTTGAAGTTGAAGATAAAAGCTTTCTGTATTGAGTTCAAATGGAGCAGTTTGTTCAATGTAAACATATGCTATCATCACATTACATGCGAATGGATCTGTTTAAGTGGCTCTTAACAGGTTCATGACAATGCTTTCTTCTACTCATAGCTAGGCGCTACTCTACTATTATCTAGCAATTCAAGCTTATCCAGTTTCCCATATCATCATGATCTGCTCATAAGAGCAATTATTGTTTAAACAAGCACATAAATCAGTTGACGGACGCATGTTGTGGGAAACTCTAACTATAAAATAATACAAGAAAGATACTAATTTAATTTTTTACTATTTAATATTTTATCCTCAAGCAGTTTATAAATGGACTATAAATCTTTAATTAAACCAAAATAAACTACTATAAACAAATTAGAAAACTTAAAAAAAAAGGAATAAAAATCCTAAACAAAATAAGAAATATGTAATCCGAAAATATAAAAAAAATAACAAAAAAAATATCATGAACAATACATTAACTAAGCCTAATTTGAATGTATTTCAAAACTCGGCTTCTGTTATGACAAGCCTAACTTCCTATGGAACTTCCTAGAGAACTGGACCTTTAAAACCTTGTAATAAAATTCGAGTATGATTTAACGATTGAATAAAAAATTACATAGCTTTTTGTTAAGTCAATTAATTTGCACAACTCAAGCCTTTTCTTTGTCTTAGCTTTGTTTGTTGGTTTATAAATATTCTTATAAGGCTATCTACATAGCTTAGTTGTGTTAGATATGCAACTAATGGACCAGAACTAATCCATCAACTTTGTTTCATTTCAATTTTTTTGTGTTCTTCATTAGTGTAAGACTCAAACTTTTAATCCAAACTCAAGCTTAAATTAGATCGAACCTAACTTAAATTAACCTAGGTATATAAGAAAAGATTGTAAGAGAATTTTTTCCCTTTTAATTTTTATGGTTTTTGTGACCCTCTCCTTATCAAATTAAAAATTTCAGTTTTTTATCTTGAGTTTTTTTGTTCAAGAAAAGTAGAAATAGCAGGTAAGTAGTTTCCGCTCACGTTAATTTCAATTATGGTTTGTGAAATAATTAAAAAAGATATTAGAGTTTATAAATATTTGAAATTTATGTTGTTAAAAGTGATTCATGATTATTATGGTTAAGATTAAATGATTGATTTTTAGTGTGTTGTTAGAAATAAGGATTTGTTATGGATTAAGAAATTTGTTTAAACTTTGCTGAAAAATCTGGACAGAATTCTCAGTTTGTTAATTGATTTATGTAATTTTCAATTTAGTTTCTTTATTTTAGAGATTTATAGTTTAGTCCCTGAACTTTGAAAAAAATACACATTGATGGCTGGAACGTAAATTGAGATTCTAAACAGAATTAACGGTGGATTATAGTTGAAATTTTAGTGTGTTTATGTATTTTAAAAATTTACAGTTTGATTATTCAATTCTAGTAAAATTATGTTTTGGTCCATAATTTTTTAAAATTATTATTATAGTCCCTAAAATTAGAAGACTAAACCTGGTTTTCTTTTATGATTTGGAGTCTTTTATTTGTGTTGTTTTTTTTTTAATAAATTTAGCATATTCATTATAGTTACTTCTAATGGTTCTCAATAGGATTTTCGAGTCTTTTATATGATATTTCTTTTACTTCTATAATTTCATAGGGTAAGTGGGATGATTTTTAATATACATGTAATATAAATAAATATATATGTTGATTATATGATAAGTATGACTAGTTAATTTCATGAATATTTATATATGCTACTTTATTTTCCGAGTACTCATCTATTCTTGAATTTACACTCGTATTCTGTTGAATTAAATTCTATTCGATATAATATACATTGATTTGATAATTATACGAATATCTATTATGCCTTGATATAAGAGTTGTCAGTAACTCCATGCTAACAAAAAGTAGTTAGTCTATATGTACATATTATTTTGTATACCTAGCTGTTGAGAATTGCACTAGCCTATGACAATTGATCCTTCTACAGTGTTCACCTTTACATGTTATCTGATCTCTGACAGATATTCCTATATTGGTCACCTTTACATGTTGTCTGATCTCTAACAGATATTCCTATATTTTATGACAATATGTTTAGTATGTATATGTATATCAAGATAAATCAACTTGCAAACTATTAATATCTAAAATGTATATTAAATGTTATTCTCTCACTGAGTTAGTTGAACTCACCCTTTATTTTTAATATTATTTCAGGTTCTTAATTTTTGTAAGCAGGTGGATTTTGTTGAGTGTTCCTGCTTCTTCAATTTTGGTTGATATGCCTTATGTGTTTTGTGAGGCTTCCCTTTTAGTTTTGATTTGATATCTTAAACACTTCATTATTACTATGTTTTAATTAAGTTTGGATTTTGATAATGTAATAAGTATTATGAATTAGTATTTTTGTTTTAATTATTGATAAGAAGTTTGAACTATTATTTGATTTTATTAGTTATGAATAATATAATATTTTGAAAGATTATGAAATACTATATATTTTTAAATGGCTTGTTTTTTTGTTATGTTTGTTATAAAACTTGGCGTAGGTGTGGTGTCCTTATGACATCACTCTTACGTTGTTGATCATAGACTCGAGTTTCGGGTCGTGACAATTAGTTAGCATTATTAACTTGCCATATTATACTTGTTTTATCATGAGCACTTTTTATTCACCAAAGAAATTAGACTTGTTTATAAATATAGACATATAGTAGAATTGAGTTTAAATTTATAATTGTAATCAATTTAATTTATGATATTTTACAAATTGTATTCCCAACATATTTTTTTTTTCATTCAATCAAGTTAAATATATTAAGTTGGGCTAAAAGAATTTTGTAGATATTATAGATATTTACAAATTGGGTTTATATTGCTAATTTTTTTTTAAACCAGACATTACACACCTAATATTAAATCTAATTTTCTCTCCATCCTTTTCTTCCTCAAGGAAATAAACTCTTTTTATTATGTTAAAGAAATTTAGGAGGAAGCCACTTATCAGAACTTTGGAGTTATAACTTCTAAATTAAAAATAAATAGGTATAAGGTATGGGTTACGGAGTTCTAAAAAACCCTGAATACAAGGTGACAAGCCCCAAAAAGCGTAGCCAATAAGAAACAAAACTAATAATTAGATATATGTACAAATTAAAAATTATTTTTTGAAATATTAAATATAAACTAAAAATTGATAAAATATAATAAAACGTCATAGAATTTTGTTCTTTAATTAACAGTAAACTTATTGGTGATTTTTCAATAATGAGTATATATTCAACTTTTATTTACTATTTTAGTGACTTTTCCTTAACAATTATATTTAGAGTGCATTAGAATACATTCTAGTTTTATTTTTACATAATATTTGATTGGATTCTAAACTCTTAAAAAAAAAAATCATTGTCTTAGAATTAGTTTTAACATTTTGATATATCACTTATATTGAGACAGATGCAATACATGATATAAAAATACTAGTAGTAACAAAGAATAGTGCTTGCTTACATATTTATGTATCATAATTTTAGTTATAAGTTGACGTTATTCAATTGATAGATTCTATTACTCTTAATTTATACGGATTCCAAGATGATGCTGCCATAGTTGCTTAAGGAGTGCATAGGATAAATCCCAGAGAAGAAACATTCTGCTGTCATAATCGGGAATACAAGCTTTGTAATCATGGTCGAAGTTTGCGGATTACAGATCCGTCAATCTGCTGGAAAGCCTTGGCCAGAATATCATCAGGAATATTGGATGGATTGGTTGCAAATAAATCAGAAACCGGGATGAGACCTGGACTCTGGCTGCTAAAAGAAACAATTGCAGAAACAAAAAGTGAACAAGTCCCCAAACACATCACCCTTTTGAAGCATGCACCTTCCAAACGAGCCTGTTTTCCGGGTTTGAGGTTACAAAGCCAGCAAGCAAGCTGCCTTCCAAGACGGTAGAAATTTCAGTTGCCCGAGGGGGGGTGCCTATACTCCTGGTGCAAAGTCCCCGTGAACTAATGCGAGCCCAAGAATCCAATGGGATTTGATGTGTTGGCAGGTACATGGAGTCCACTGAAGAAGAAATGGGTGGCATTTACCAGCTCCGATCCATACAAGGTAGGCCATTAATTCTTACTGCAGTCATCATAAAACATGCAACCTGAGCTAGTAGGAACGGCAACGCAAGAATCTTGCAATGGAATAGGATCGGAAGCCGTAGGCAAGGCATAAATGATGGCTAGAAAACTCGCAATAATCAACAAAATGTGGCTAGCCATATCAACTGTTTGAACTCTTATATATAGTGATCGATCAACAGTCCAGACTTCGAAGGAATTTGCTGCCGTCCAATGCCTGTATCTGTTGTTGAAAGAGTCTAGCATGTTCAATCCAAGAGTCGTGTTTGTATGAAGCTTGTAAGTGAATCCAATCAAATGCATTATACATGTCAGTCCAAATTCTGATGTCTTCTCATGTGTTGCCTCTTATGCTCAGTCTCTGTTGGGTAATGTTAATATAATCTAGGAAAAACTATTTGTAGACTTCATCAACCTACGAAGCTGAATATTTTTCTCTGCTTCTGTGAATTCTGCCTTTTAATTGCTTGGAGTCCTTATCTTACACTTAGATTGTTGTCTGGAATCCAAGTATGGTTTGATATGGTCTGATTGTGTAACATATATATAGAAAGAGAGAGAGAGATATACGGGGCAAGCGTAAAGTTCTTATTATTATTATTATTTAAAATTGGGCTATTAAATAAGGCTAGCTCTTTGGATATGTTTTGCGGCTAATTTCAATATAAAAAAAGATTCCTGGCATATATATAATATAAACATTAAAAATATATTATTTTTAAATTATAATAACAAAACAGTGTTATTTTTTTTAATTTGATTATTAAATTTTTATTTTTTCAAGGTAAATTATAATTTTTTTATGTTTTTTAATTTATTTTATATTTCCCTTGTTTT